ATCAATGGCTAGATAATAAAATATAATAATAGAATATTTAGAATTTTAGGAAACAATGAATACATATTTCTTTTTTTTTTCCTTTGATACTATCCTTATAAAATTTTATTAAGATAGACTTGGTATGACTTTATGATTTGCTATAAAATAAATTAAGTAAATTATAGTTATCTCGTTAAAGTATGAATTAATAAAATTATAGTCAAATGATTGTTTAATAATGATATCAGGCTATATAATTGTTGATTGATAATATGAGCTATTATGTAATATAACTACAATGGAGACTATGAAATGGATGCACAAAAAAAAGTGGTAAACCAACCGATACACTGTCTGTAAACTCATGAAGGAAAGATGATGTTTTTATGTTTTATGTGTTTTTGTTTGTTGTTAAAATTAATAAAACTATTTTTTTAAAAAAAAAAACTAAGCAACTGATCATCAGTCAAGGACTAGCAGTATAAGTGGAAATATTCCCTGGCTTTCCACTGTGACCAAATTTTGTATTGTTGCTTATAGGCCTGAAGAGAGTCTGAAGAGGGCTGGGGATGAAGAGGTGAGCATTAAGTAGATAACATTTTGGGGAGCTGGTAAACCCTGGTGGCCATCTTTACACTGCTAAAGGGGAGTTCCCTGAGGATGGGTTCCAGCACACGTTTGAAAGCTTGGAAGACTAAACCTCTGGTCCCAGTGATTGACCCAGAATGAGTTTAGAAGAAATGTATCATTCTTTATGCCAAGAAATTAAAAAATGCTTACTCTTGGGGAGGAAAGCTATGGCAAATCTAGACAGCATACTAGAAAAGCAGAGACATCGCCCTGTCAACAAAAGTGTGTATAGTCAAGGCTATGGTTTTTCCAGTTGCAATGTATGGCTGTGAAAGTTGGACCATAAGGACGTCTGAGCATTAAAGAATTGAGGCCTTTGAACTGTGGTGCTGGAGAAGACTCCTGTGAGTCCCTTGGACTGCAAGGCGATCAAGGTGGTCAGTCCTAGAGGAGATAAACCTTGGCTGCTCTTTAGAAGGCCAGATCCTGAAGATGACATTCAAATACTTTGGCCACCTAATGAGAAGGAAGGACTCACTGGAGAAGAGCCTGATGCTGGGAACGGTTGAGGGCAAAAGAAGAAGAGGACGTCAGAGAATGAGGTGGCTGGATGGAGCCACTGAAGCAGTCGGCGTGAGCTTAAATGGACTCCAGGAGATGGTAGAGGACAGGAAGGCTTGGAGGAACATTGTCCATGGGGTCGCAATGGGTCGGACACAACTTCACAATTAACAACAACATCATGCTTCATAATGGCACTATTTGCAGAAGGAAAGTATTCAAATTCAATTTTGCCTTATATCAGAAAAATCAAAATTTTGGTAAGCATGTAAAAAGTTTTTTGAAAGTTTTCTCTCCATTGTCTAACTGAATACAAAATGTTAAATTGTTGGCCTTTCATGTTGCTCATCAGTTATGCAGAATTGAAGGAGGAAGAAAAGAGAAAATTAGAGGACTAGTCATTTGTGGTAAGAACAATCAAGCTCAAATGGTGATTTGTCCCATTTTAAACCTCAACTATATATTATTCTAACAGTTACAACTTTGCCAAGCCAATTTTCTTGTGAACCAGTAATCAGCATGTTATTTTCGCTGCTATCAGATCTTTGAAAGATGACAAGATGGCTAAGAACTTCAACATGTGTGATACAAATTGGTACACCCTCCAACAAACCATATTTTAATTTGAGATGTCCCTGCTGCTTTGCGACAAAAGCAGAACAAAGAAACCGCTCGGTGAATCAATCAAGCAATTATCTGTCCTTGTGGTCCACAATGCAATCACATGTGCACAACAGTCAAAACTAGAATGCACTCTTGCACTGTTAAATTACCACACTTGGGTTTGAGTTATTAGTTATTTGAGTTATGAGCTATGATATCTCAACAAAAAAAAATCCAAATAACCACATGATAGCAACAAATGTTTTCTGTGTTTCTTTGCTGTTGGAATTTTATAGAATTTGGTAGTACATAATTGGCCTTAATCTCTGAACACCAATTCAGAGATTACATGGTAATTGGAATTACAGGCCACGGGGAAATTCTGTCCAGTTCATAGATAGTAATACAGGTGAAACTTGGAAAAATAGAATATCATGCAAAAGTTCATTTATTTCAGTAATGCAACTTAAAAGGTGAAACTAATATATGAGATAGACTCATTACATGCAAAGCAAGATAGTTCAAGTCGTGATTTGTCATAATTGTGGTGATTATGGCTTACAGAGAGAGAGAGAGAGCCTCTGGGGGAAGGGACTGTTGTTGCGGCCACCGCCATGTGTGGGAGCGTGCATCTCAGGGACCTAGCCAAAAACTAGCCATTTCTACAACAGCAGATCTATCTAATCAGTAAAACCCAAAATCAAAGTTACATTTTTTTTCCCACCTCAAGCACAAAGTCCAGAAGTGGTTTCCAAGTAGAAACAAAAGTACTTGTGTTTTTCTTTCTTTTTTTAAGCAGTCAATTTAGCCATTTCTGCTAACTCCATCACCTTTTGTAACCATTCATCCATTGTGGGGATTGAAGAGTCCTTCCACTTTTGCGCATAAATCTTGCTGCCATCAACATATATAACATCAAAGTTCCATTTTTTTCCCAAGTCTTTTCCCATTAAACCCAAAAGGAAAGTTTCTGGTTTTATCTTTAAGAAATTTCTGTATTAGAATATGAATACTCATCCAGTGATTTTTTGCTTCACTACATGTTTACCATAAATGATAGAAAGTCCATTCTTTACATTCATATGAAATTCCTTTATATATTCTTGACATCTGATGTTAAATACCAACAATACATCATCTTATACATTTTTTCTTTTAAACTGTAATTCAGTGTAAATTTTAAAATTTTCGTCCACATATTCTCCCATTGTTCAAACTTTACATTATATCCAAAGTTCCTTGCCCACTGAATCATACGTTTTACATATTCACTTTCCAAATTTAAATTCAATAACATTTTATAGACCTTAGCCATAATATGTTCATCACTACCACACAGTAGGATTTCCAATTCATTTAACAAAATCAAACTATTTTTCTCTAATTTAAATTTCTTTCAGTTTTAAGTATATAAACCAGTGGCAGACATGGCCTTCTGATTCTAGCTCTTCCTAGGATCAACAAAATTAACAGATATTATTTTACCATAAATCTACCAATGCGGTTTTGCCACCATTTCTTTTCTTTAAAAAAGCTTCCTGGGGGGACACTGAAAATGCTTCATAGAAAACATTGTTTTATATTTATTACAAACTCTAAAATGACAGGTCTAACAAAGTGGTTATTGATATCAAGATTTTCTTTCATCTTGTCATACCATAAATAACCGTGCCATCCAAATGTTAATTCATGACCTTTTAAATCAAGTGTCCTCTTATTCTGGAGGTTTACCCACTCTTTTATCCAGACCAAACAACAAGCATCAAAATACAGTTTCAAATCTGGTAAACCCAAATCCCATCTTTCTTTAACATTTTGCAGTACTTTGTAACTGATTTGGGGTCCCCCCCCCCGCCATATAAACTTAGAAATATCCATTTGCCACTGTTTAAATGGAGTATCAGTTGCAAGTATTGGTAACATCTGAAACAACCAAAAAAAGCATCTTTGGTAAGTCTTAATTACAGAAATTCTACCCAATAGTGATAAATGCAGTTTATCCCCTCTTAATATGTCCTTTTTAATATCATTCCAGAGAGGTCTCTTACTATTTCTAACACCCACTCTGATGACAGCATGGTTTACACTGACGTAATTGCTTCAAAAAAACTTATTGTTTCTCACCATTTGAACTGAGAAATACACAAGAATGATTGTTTAAAATAATGTTTAATCCATGGTGTTTTTTTAAAAAAAAAACAGAGATAACCTCATCTTTTCCTTCCTAAAATGGAAAAAGAAAATTCCAGCCAATTCTGCCTACTTTGCCAACCATGCAATTAAATTTTCAAATGGCTACTTGTAGGATTTATACATGGAATGAATGAAATTTCTACAACTAGTGTCACAAAGTGCATTTTGCCACACTCGCCTAGCAAAATGGGCTGACTGAAATATGCACAGCCCATCACAGTAATACGTATGAGTATGCCATCCAGAGGTGGTATTCAGCAGGTTCTGACCAGTTCTGGAGAACCGGTAGTAGAAATTTTGAGTAGTTCAGAGAACCAGCAAATATGACCTCTGACTGCCCTGTCCCCATCTATTCTCGGCCACCCAAGTCCCAGCTGATCGGCTGGGTCTTCTTTTGTTGCCCTGCACAGGAGAACGGAGCTGGAAAGGAGGTTAATGGGGTGGGGAGGGAATGGGGATTTTACAGTATCCTTCCCCTGCCACACCCACCAAGCCACACCCACAGAAGCGGTAGTAAAAAAAAAATTTGAATCCCAATACTGATGCCATCCATCTTGCCCACTGCCAGCCCGTATGAACTAATCCTGGGAATGAGTAAAAATATGAATCTGAGTTTGGACTGTTATTGTTGGAAAATGGAAAAACCTGGTCTTGTTACACTCCAATCTCCTTAAACTAGAGGAGTTGGAATACACCTTGATCCTTGCTGTTTGTTTCTTCATTCTCTCTCCATTTAAAATAGAATAGAACAGAATAACAGAGTTGGAAGGGACCTTGGAGGTCTTCTAGTCCAACCTCCTGGCAGGAAACCCTATAGCATTTCAGACAAATGGTTATCCAATCTCTTCTTGAAAACTTCCAGGGTTGGAGCATTCACAACTTCTGCAGGCAAAGTTGTTCCACTGATTAATTGTTCTAACTGTCAGGAAATTTCTCCTTCGTTCTAAGTTGCTTCTCTCCTTAATTAATTTCTACCCATTGCTTCTTGTCCTGCCCTCAAGTGCTTTGGAGAATAGCTCGACTCCCTCTTCTTTGTGGAAGACCATGTATTTCATATAGAACCTGTCTGAAGTTACAATTTGGCATATTCCAGAATTGGCTTCTTGCTATTAAATAATCAGCAGGCCCAATAAATTAAGCAGCAGGGGTTCCTAGGTTCCTTAACATCGGGGTGATGATAAGAAATGACCCTCCTAGAATTGATTGCAATTGATATGGAACTGAAGCATCCATGAACATTTCTAAAGAAAGTTTCCCCTTCTTTCTCTTCTCCTTCATTTTGTTCGTGAGGATTCAAACATTTTATTGGGAGCCTTTGGTTTAGCTTTCTTCCTTTGTAGTTTGTTCAGTAGAACATAGTTGCGGTTTGTTTTCCTCTTGTTTTACTAAGGGCATAGTTGCTTTTAGGATCATTTTCCTGTAACTTTATTGCAAACTATTTAGGGCTTAAATGGTCAACAAATGTGGTAAGTAAACAAATGGGAGCCATCTGCAGGAGACGTTAAATTTGTGGTTTGAATGTCTTGCTTTAGTGAGGACATGGCTGTTTCTAAAATTATTTTCCAAGATTTTTCAACTATTCATAGGTTCACAATGGGTTGCCAACAGCTTTTGCACACCAAACAATGAACACATTTAAGGCCCTCTGAGTACAGCCTTTGTGTACAATGCCCTGGCACAGTCAAAATTCTCATATAAGGAATAACATATTGAAGGGCTAACTTGTTCCTTTGGCTTGGGATAGGAAACCAGAATCAAATATGTATTTTATTTGTAATTTGTTGCATGCAAAATACAGCAAAGCCACAAGGAAATGCACATTAGTGCTTTATTTCTGTGACAGGACAGAGTTCTTCCTCATGGAATAGTTTCCTTGTTCTGCTCTTATCTCCAACGTTTCCTAGCGACTCCCCTCTCCTCAAAAATTGTTTTTGTGGATGGGGAAAATTTAGGAAAGATTAGTCACATTATATTACTGTAGAGACAAAAGATAAGATGGCAGGTCCTCATTGAGTTCAATAAAGGTAACTGTGGCAGTAATTGGATCTTACTTCATCTTACCTGAGGGCAGAGATTCTAAACTGAGAGAGGGCAGCTATGGCCCCTTAACAATCTGTGGGCTTTAACTCCCAGAATTCCTGAGCTAGCCATACTGAGCAATGCTGGCTCATGAATTCTGGGAATTGAGGTCCATGGATCACAAAAGAGCCATAGTGGCCCACCCTTGATCTAAATACAGTTCTGTCCTCCCCTGGCAAAGAAGTTTCTGCTGCCCCCTTGAGAGTCCTCTTCATCTATCATTGATGGTTCTGCATTTCTTTGCCTAATGAAAGGTCCCTTCCACAAAACTTTGCCATATGATTGCGAGCACTTCTAGATAGAAAGGAGATGACGAATGACATATCCCAAAGTTTTCTGGAATGGCCCTTTCATTAGGCAAAGAAAGGCAGATTTGTCAGTGATAGATGAAGGGGACTCTCAAGAGAGCAGGAGAAACTTCTTTCTGACTGTTTTTATTTTGAGGAAGACATTTTGCTTCTCATCTAAGAAGTATTGTCAATTCTGGCAGGATGGTGGGGATGATGGAAAGATTAATTCTAACCTCAAAACTAATTCTTCCCTCACCCTCACTTTCCTGCTAGAATCAGTGAAGCTTCTTGGATGGAACATCCAACATCTTCCTCAAAAGGAAAAAAAAACAGTCCAGTTGCCTTTTGAAAAAGCACCTTTGAGACAACTGTGACTTGAATGACTGAGAATCTCCACAGAATGTGATGGCATTGACCAGAACACTTTGGAGCTGAAGAAAACTCAAAACAATAAAATACGTTCAGAGTAGGATCATTTGAGTCTGGTCATTTGTACCTCAAGTCAGAACTCTGAGTTGGTTGGTTTGTTTGATGATCCATCAGTTTGTTTTCTTGACTGTCCACAGGAGTGTATTAGAGTTTGCAGCAAAATTCAAATCCAGAAAACACAGAGATGACTGACTCAGCAGGATCAGTAACTTCTTGATAAACATAATAAAATGAGTAAAGTTTACAATACCATTTGTAGATTCTTTCAACGTAACATAAGCAAAAACACAAGCAGCAGCAGCTCAGAGCAGAACTCTAGTTTCAGTTTCAGTTCTCAACAAAGCACACAGAGCCAAATCACATACAGGCTGTCATCTCCCATTGGCTGGTTTGTTGCCATGATTACTCACTTGCTGACTTTGTTAATCATGTCTATGCCAGTTAATGAATATACTCTGACAGAATGTTCTCCAACACCAAACTTCAAAGGCATGAATACTCTTCCTATTCTGCTTCTTTAAAGACTAATTTGGAATGTGCTCAACATGGAGCTTTCCTTGAAGACCACCAGAAACTTCAACTGGTCCAGAATGCAGTAGCACACAAAATAATGGAGCCCCTAGGTGTTGCTCCTCTACCACTTTTGTTGCATGAGCTGCCCTGGTTTTGAGTTTCTTCTTTCCAAGTGCAATTCAAGATGCTGGTTATCATCTTCAAAGCCTTATATGGCACAGGGTCAGGATGTCTGCAGGACCTCTTTTCCCTAAGCACATCTACCCATCTTACCAAATAAGATAGGGTGGACATGGTCCTACTTCCTTGCCTTAAATATTGCTATCTGAGGGGAGCCGGGAAGCCTGTCTTTTCTATTCTTTTACTGTTGATGATTTATCCCAAAAGGCAGAAGATAACCACAACAGCAATATCTTCACTGCCGGCTTGAAGTATGATTAAACTGTCCATCATCATTAGTTTGTCTTTTAAGTCAATTTTTTGCACCCATTAAAATTGGTTGATTTACCAGGTAGCTGACTAACTTGAACAGTCAATTTAATTGCTTGGCTGATTATCTTAGTCATTGTATACTTGTTGGCTAGCAATTTGACACTCTCAGGTTTGAAGAATCTTGAGGGAAGATCTAAATTTGAATGGAAAAACTGTTGGTGAAAATTTCCATCTTGAATCTTGGGAGGCTGTGAATATATCTCCCAAAAGTACCATTTCCCTCAGTAGTCTCTTAGCAATTATGCTACATGATGATCTACATGATGAAGATTTTCTCCCATGCGTTTCCTGTGGCAACAAATATTAGCTTCAGCAGAGTCTTTTCAACTAAAAGAGCATTCCTGCCCATTCAAAATTGTACAACCTTAACGTACTTGCCACCTGTAAGCTTGGCACAGCAATGGAGGAAGGTACATTTTGTCTCAGTGCTAGACAGCATACTATAATGTCCTGCTATTCCCTAATGTCCAGAGGTAATCCTAAATTGGATCTGTTGCAAAATATATTTTCCCAGCTACAAGCAGCAATAAATTGGTTATGCTAAAAACATAGATGCCAACTAGAATATCAGAAAAAGGTCCTGTAGTTTGGTTTCTGTAATGTAATACTTGCAGTGATTCTATGGCTATTCGCCATTTCAAATAAGCAGCAGGGAAATAGCTTAGTTTTTACAGTCTTGCAGCAACCAGATGTTGCAACCACCACTCAGGCATAAAAAAGATGGAGTCTATCTAATGATAATGATGGAATAGGTTATGTCCCAGTCTTGGCTTCCATCCTTGATGATATACGTATGTCTCAAAGTCGCTTCCTGAATGAAGCAGGGAACAAGGTTGCCCTCAAAATTATCCATGCCAACAGTTAAACATTTTTAAAGATTAAAATGTCTTTTATTTTTCTAAAAACATTGGAGTAAAATTAGCCTTTGTAGTCATACATTATGCATAGAATTGCTTCATAGTGAGGAATTAATGGGAAAAACAGAAGTAGACTGAAGCTTGGAGGTCTTCTTGTCCAGCCCCCCTGGTCAAGCAGGAGACCTTTCAGACAAGTGGTTGCCAATCTCTTCTTAAAAATGTCCAGTGATGGAGCATCCACAACTTCTGGAGGCAAGCTATTCCACTGAATCATTGTTTTTAGCTGCCAGGAAATTTCTCCTTATTTCTAGGTTGGTTCTTTCCTTGATTAGTTTCAATTTTTCAATTGAAGATCTTTTCGTCGCAAGAATGCACCCTCTGCCTTTACCCCTTGGCACCCTCTGCCCTTTTTGCTACTGTTTTACAAGTACGTTTTTATGCGTGACATAAGAAGGTTCAAAGAGGCTCAGTTCTTAGTCAATTCAAGTGAAGATGTCCTAGCCATGGGACATCTGTAGAAAGAGGACATACAAGGAAAAATATGTTGCATGGTTGTAATATGGCTCCATCCCTTTTGTACTTGCATCATGTCATCACACACAAATAAGGGAAGGGCAAAGCTGGTTTTGTGACAATGCAATGCATGTTTTTTATCACTTAGACAAGTGCTTTTTGTTCATTACTGAAAACTGCTTATCAGAAAGTATTCTGAACTTCAAGGAGCAGTTGTAAGTCCCTTCAGCCCTGGGGTATCTTTGAACAGTCCCTGAACAAGTGGTAGTAACTTGAGAACTACCTGTATTATAAAAACAATATCACCAAATGATGTTTATGTCATATTTTTAAAAAAAATCATTGGTAATTTCATTGATTTTCTACCCAATAAGAATATTTTGCGAGATTTTCAAATATATTTTAGTATACGTGGCAATCTTTAAGACAATTTAAATGTACCTGTTGTGGGTTTATGAGTTGTTACTCAAAGAAAAAACAGTTTTACTGAATGTTGGGTAATTTATCCAGGTTTGGGAAAGCAGGCACCTTTGCTTGCAAAGCCTCTGTCAGAAGTGCGGAACACTTTAGGGGTCAAATGAGTTTTGTTTTTTTTAAGCTCCTGTCTTGGTTTATTACCTTACCGAAATCTGCTTTGAAATTTCTTGAAGATCTTTCTTTTTCAAAAGAAGCCTTTGTGTTTTTGTTTCGTTTTCAGAGTGGGAGATAATTTATTCTGAATTTCCACTGGTGGTATTGTTTATTGAGGCAAATGGTAGAAGATTCTCTCTCTTAGTAGTGTTATTTCCTGCTTCATCTCCTTCTATCCCTTCTACCCCTCTGCCACTTCCTTGGTGGCCCACACTTCCCGAATTAAGGAAATCCAATTGAAAGCCTTCCCTTATGAATGCTCCCCTTAGGATTGAAATGAAGCATTGGAAAGTAAGGGGATTGGGGAGATAACAATACAACAACAACCAGAACATTCACCTACACCAGTGGTTCTCAACCTGTGGGTCGTGACCCCTTTGGGGCCGAACGACCCTTTCAAAGGGGTCGCCTAAGACAATAGGAAAACACATATTTTCGATGGTCTTAGGAACTGAGCCATAATTTTATGGTTGGGGGTCACCACAACATGAGGAACCGTATTAAAGGGTCAAGGCATTAGGAAGGTTGAGAACCATTGACCTACACCCTTAGGCATCTTTATAATTTGCAATTTAAATGCAAGAACATCAAACACCGCCCATGAGAATTTCATCACAATTCTCACCTCCACTGAAATTTTGAAGGAAAATTGTCTTTGATCAAACTTAATGACTGGAGAATTTATCTCTATTGCATTGAGAGTATCATTTGCAGTCTACTTGTCATTGATTAATCATATATCTGACCTGGATATCTCTCTCTCTCTCTCTCTCTCTCTCTCTCTCTCTCTCTCTCTCTCT